CCGGTTTCTTTTTTTTTTTTTTTACTACTGGTTGGGCAAACCAGTTACATTTTTACTACCTGTTCGGGCAAACTGATCCGAACAGGTAGCATTTCACTCCTGGGTAAGGATCATCCTACCAACCCCTCTATTATATTTTCCTCCTAGTAAACAGGAGAGTATTCATTTAATGAATAAACTTCTCAGAACCTTGATAAATAATCTATATGCTAATAAAACGCTCGGTAACCTTTAACTGGTGGAAATGGTGTATCACAAGGCAAAATCTTTTCAGTCAAGATACTTCAAATAAGCTAAGTTACAGAATGTTAGGACCCATTGCTACTGAGGAAAAGAAATTTGGGAAAGTTGTGGCTGCTTTACCACTGCTGGGTTTTTGCTGCTTCAGCCCCGCCACTGCCATGCTGCTGTAGTCACATCATCCTCATTTTCAACATTCCCAAACAACCTTCTGGTCTTTCCTGCAATCTCTTGTTCCCTCCCCCACCAACCAGCAGCTCTCTGCTGGGAAGGGAAGGAAAGATAAAGGGAGAAATGAAAAAAAGAAATGGAAGGAAGAAGGAGAGAAGGTGGAAGAGGAAGGAAGGAAAGGCAGGAGAAGGGAAGGATGAAAGAAAGATGAAAGGAAAAAGGGGAGAAGGGGAAGGCAGGAAAGTGCAGAATAAAGATGGAAATCAAGGAAGATAGGAAGGAACAAAGGAAAGGGGGGGGGAGGTAGGTAGGAAAGAGGTGGGAGAACCTGAAGAAGCCAAATTTTTCCCCTCTTCGATTTCCACTTTTCACTAGTTACACCAGGGGTGAAATGCTACTGATTCACCCAAACTAGTAGTAAAAAATAGTACCGGTTTGGGCGAACCGGTAGTTTCTATGATCAGCTTTGCGACAATCAGTTGTACCGTGTGATTTGTATTCGCTAGAAAGCAGGAAACCCTGCTTTCTAGTGAACCCAAATTGCGTGGCACAGCTGTTTCCCCCCATGCTGTTCTACTTACCTTTACAGATTCAGAAAAGGCTTCTTAATCCTCCTTTTTCAGCACTGCATAGTAGCTCCTGCGATGCGCATGCACACATGAAGCAAACCGGTAGTGAAGCCAACTGTTAGCAGACTTCAGAGTATTCACCTCTGAGTTACAACAAGAAACAGCACCTCCATGATTTGACATTCCATATGTTTGGTAATTAACCATAAAATAAAACCATAGGTTTGCCATCACGGCTCTAGGCTGTCTGGGTGAGGAGTTCTTAAATGTTCTACCCAGGACTCATTTTGTCCCAGTTCTAGGAAAACAATCCAGAAATACAGAATTCTACCAATTCTGAAATACAAGAGAGTATCAAAATAATAATGCAATTTTACATGTAGTTAAAGTTGGTAGAGTAATAAAAAAAAGACAACTGAAAACACAGAATTTGAAAATCAATATAGTCAGTTCAACTATTGTAAACTACTGTGATTACTTATTACCTCTTTGAATATATTCTTGGGATTCAGCACATATCTTTTTAAAAATGGAGACAGATTATTCTGGGTATTCTGTTTGGATATCCATAAGCAAGGCCTCCCCCAACCTCGAAGATTCACAGAATATGACTCTGCTTTGCTCAAAATAAATTTCCACCTATGACATCTGGGATTCAGCTAATAAATTAGATGTTATCCATTACCAATTGGTTCTTGGTGGAACAAAAGGTCCAATCTGGTTTTCTTCAGTTCTTCCTTTGAATTCATAGGAGAAACTCTTTTTGGGAAACAAAAGTAGAGGTCAGTTAATAAAGTGCTTTAGGGTACATTGAAGAGCATATCAAAAGCAGAGTTTTGTCACAATTACTCAGATGTCTTGACACCATTCCCACTATTACATCTAAAAAGCCCTATACGTTTTGAAGGTGAAAGGTTAACATGAGAGCAACTATCAGATGCCTTACCCCAGTTGCATATTTCTATGACTGAACTGGTGGATGTAGTTTCAAATAAATCTCAGCAGAGACAGAAATAAATATATCAGTTATCTAAAAGAAATGAAAACACGTCAGCAATCTTAGAGTACACCAAGTTCAGGAATGCTCTGTAAATTATGAAGTACACTTAATTTAAGACCTTAGTTATGATGGTTTATACCTAAAATAAAGAAAACTAAATCTAAAAGCAAAGACTGAAGAACATGCTGTATGTTGTTACTATGTAAGATAATTAAAATATTCTTGATCCTTAACTCGGATGAATATTAAAATGTCTTGACGCTTTGTAGTTTAGCTTGTAATCCTATACACACAATACAACCCAATGACATAAATTCTTGCCTTAAAGTATAACTGAACTCAACAAGGTTTACTTTATATATATACTTAGACATATACATATACATACATACATGGAAAGATTACAATAAATTATTTCTCAGCTGTCAGACATCATACATGCACATGTATACAGGTACTTGAAGAAAAGCATAGCTTAAACTTCTTTCTAAAAATAGTGGAAACAATAGTACCGAGGATGGGGGATTAAAGTTTTCCCAACAGTTATGCAATTAGCAATTTTCCCTTCAAGGAAGTTCATTTTGCTGAATAGCACACAAAAGCAAATAAGAGGACAGAATAAAAATAAGATATTGGCAAGGCTTTTCTTACGCTAGTAAACATTCCATAGAAGGATATATTTAAAAGTATGGTTCCTACAGAATATTCTGTTCATAAAGTAACAGAAATGTAATTGTAAATACAGTTCCTTCTATGTTTAACAGTTAAATATATTTAAAACTTAATTTCTGTCTTTTGGGCATATACAGCAAGAGATACCTAAAAAGCACTTAAAAAGTGCTTAAAAGTACTTGTAAGATATTTTTAATTATAGAGTCAAAAGATTGGAGGGATTGAAAGGGATCTTGAAAATAATCTAATTTGACTCCTTCAAACCTGTGCAGGAATTCACTAATACAATATTTCTGACAGATGCTGATATAGCCTCTTTTTAAATACTTCAAATGGAAAGTCTACCAGTCTTGGAACAGTCTTGGTAAACTGCTCTTACTATTAGCAATTTTTCTCCTGATGGCCAAATAAAATTATTTTCTTGTAAAATGTATTTTGTGATCCATCAAGATCCTTTTGGCATATGGCTTTTTTGCTCAATGTTTCTGTTTGACAAGATCCTGCTAAATCTTAATACTTCCTGTAAGCTGGTAGAATTTCATGACATACATCACTGAATGCTTTGCTGAAGTTGGGATCTGTGTCCACATGTCCACACTTCTGTGATCAATTAAACTGGTATTCTCTCAGAAAAGATTAATTTGGATTGCCATTACTTGTTCATCATGGTTCTTGCCAAGCAATGCTATTTTCTAAATCCTGGCAAACTGACTACTCAATGATTTGTCTCTTGGTCTGTGTCAACATCAACCTGTCCTGCCTTAATTATTTAGCTCGTGGTTTTCTCCTCTTTTGAAGACAGGAAAACATTAGGTCTACTTCACTACACCTATCCTTTATGATCTTCAAAGGTCATAAGAAAGAGGTCTTGAGATGATATCTGCAGATTGTTAATGGTAGCTAGTTACTACATCTTATTTGAGTTATTTTGAGTTGCTGTACACACTTGAGTTGTTTCACACATTGTTTTAATAGGTCCATTTCAACACAATTCTTCCTGGTGCGGAAGACAGAACAAAGTAAGATCTGAGCTCTGCTCTTTCCCTTTCATCTTACTATTCTGCCAACCTCTTATCAGCTGGTTCATTCCTTTCTTTTTTCTACTGACAAATTAGCTCTTTTTTTGCAGTTAACTTTCTTTTGCAAGTCTAAATTTCTTTTGCACTTCAGCCTTTACTTTTGTTTCTAAACTGGCCCAAAAGAAACAATTAAGTTTATATCTTTTTCTTAGTATTCTGAAACATTTATGAAGCCCATTAAAACGAACCCATCCATGGTAGTTTTAAATATTTCAGTGCACAATGAAAAAAAAATCTTTAAATCAAAATAATGAATATATTTCTGTTTCTATATTTATCTTTGTATTTGGATAGCATTAACTATAGATACTATTTTGGAGGTCTTGGGGGACCAAAAAGATGCATTATATACTCTAAACTTAAATTTGCTGTCTTGCAACTCTTCTTTTGACAGCATAGTAATAATGAGAAAGAAGTCAGGACCCAATAAAGTTGATAGAACTGCATGGGCAGCTCATTTTTTTTTAACCTGTAACATGCAGTTCCGTTTAAATAATCCCAAACCTTTTCCACTTCCTTTGTTTACGTCATTTGAGGGAGGGAAGGAAAGAGGAGAATTTAAGTTAAAGCAATGCTTTTCTTGTTTTCTCAAGAAAAAAATAATAATGCAGCAACGGACCAAAGGGGTTAGTAAATCGTAACGTTGGTTCCATTAGAGGGAGGACACTCAGTCATTTTCCCGATTAACTAAAAGTAAAGTTTTTGCTTTCCTGCGAAGGATCAAGAGATTATACCTTTGAAGCTTCAAACTCAGCTTCTTTTTTTCAAAGCAAACCCAATCTTTCGAAAGTGTCTTCTTCGTCCAGCGTAAAGGCAGGCAGGCAGGCAGGCAGCAGCAGCGAGCGATAGTTCAGTACCGCCGCTCCTAATAATGTATGTGAATGCGGTAGCGGCGTCCCCGCAGCCTCTGAGCCTCTCTCCTCGCCTTGTAGCTGGAACTCCCGCACTGGGCTCTCGCTATCCTCGCTCTCTCTTCCTTGCTCGCTCGCTCTCTCGCTCCCTCTCTCCCCCCTCCCTCTCTCGCTCTCTCGCTCTCTCTTACACTGCCAGCCCCTGATGTGATGGCGAAGAAACCCCGTTGACAAGGCACTGCTTTTTCATGACGGTGAGTTTCCCTTTGAGTGTATTATAATTTTGTGATAAAAATTTCAAGGAAAAAAAAAACACACAACCTCCTTCCTCCCTTCCTTCGGGGAGGGAAAAGAGAGGGGGGGAAATCTATCTCCAGACAGACAGAAAAGAAAAGAGGAGCAAATTAACAACCAGGAGTTGCCAAAACCAGGATATTAGGTTTCAGCCCAGAGAGCTATTGGCTCTGGGGCTAGGTATATAAATATATATCTGGAGAGAGAGGAGAGGAGAGAGAGAGGGGGGACATAGGGAGGAAGAAGAAGGAGAAGAGAAAAGAAGAGGAGGAGGAGGAGGAGAGGAAAGGAGGAGGAGGAGGGCGATTTTGCGCGGGTGGTGCTTGGTGGGCAGATGTTAATTCACATGGAAATGAAATATTTATTTCTTTTGCAGGAAGAGGCTGTGGTGGTGGCTACTGAGGGCACCTCCAAAATGTGATTCTTAAAGGGGGAGAGGCAAACAAGGAGGGAGAGAGAGAGAGAGAGCGAGCGAGAAGAGGGGGGGGGGGGAGAGGACAGATAAGGTTTCAGGGCTAGGCTGATAGCTGCAAGGTGGGCGGCGGGAGAGGATGGGGGGGCTGCCCCTCTCTCGCGGAGGCCATGCAAATGTAGAGAGGAAGAAAAGCCCCTCTTTTAATGACTCACTGATTGAGCCGGTTTAAAATTAGTTATTGTTTTGTTTGGGCTTTTTTTTTTCCTTCTGGCCACCCCCTTGGCCGTCGAGAGGGAGAGAAAGTGTGCGTGAGTGTGTGTGTCTGTCAGTGTGACTGAGGGTGTGTGTGTCTGAGGAAGAGGGGAATCAAGTGTATATGTGTGTGTGTGTGTGAGAGAGAGAGGGAGAGGGAGAAAGAAAAATAATCTTTTCAAATCTCCTCCCTCTTTTTTCCCCCCTCGTTTCTTTGCTTTTCTCTAAAGCTCTCTGGTCTGTGCAACACTTTTTCTTCCTCCTCCTCAGGAAAATGGAGACGCTCCGTCTTCTCGCTCCTGGGCGGGAGGCTGCCGAGGATTTTTCTTTTCTTTTGCCTCCCCGGTTGAATTTGTCTTCAGCGACCATCTCTTGCCATCTCGTACTCATTTTCACTGCCTTTCTAGCATGGGTTGCGCTTTTTGACGGGGATTATTATTTTTTCTTATTAATTTCGTTTCTTATTATTACTATTTTTTTTGTCTTCAGTTTCCTCCGATTTCTTGTCTTTGCGTCATTGTTTCAAGGAATGGAAATGGCGATTTGTTTCGGTGTATGTAATTCTGGGTCGGTAGGATTTAAAATCCTTTTCGTTGTAATTTGTTTTTTTAAAGCAAGTATAATAAATATTTACATCTCTAACAATGTTTTCCTTTTTGCCTTTCGAAGACTCTTTATCTGTATCTGGCATGGGATTAACCTTCCAAAAAATGATCGTTAATTTGTTTTGGTTAAAGACCTGGGGTGGGGGGAGGGGAGGGAGAGAAATATATAAAGAATGGATTGAAAATCCGATGGATCATTTTCGATGCGTTTTTTTTCCTTTTTAATCGAAACGTAGTAGTTGAGTGGGCAATACTCTTAATAGGGGATGCAAGTACAGTAGGTTTGCAGAAATGGTCGATTTAGAAACTCAGGCCTTTGTGTTTTTATCGGGCTTAATTTCACTCTCTAAAATGTATAACCTAGGAGAAATTCCGAAATGAATATACATTTCCAAAGCTCAGTCGACGGAGCCAACTGTTCCTCATTGGAGTCCCTTTTTCTCCGTGCCAGTGTGGTACCTCGCCGGCTGGAGGGTCAGGGACAAGGGAAGATGGCGCTGCCTGGCCATCGGCCAGGATTTGTGGCGCAGTTTCTTCTCTTTCGTTCCCTGCCGCCGCCATTTTGAAATGCTTTTAATACGAGGCTTTCCCCTTCGGCTGGGGCGTCGTCTTCCTCTACTTCGCGGAGCTGCTTTCCTTCTCTGAAAGTAGAGCAAAAATGGAAACGGGGACCTTCTTCACCTTTATGAAATGGTTTCCAAAGGGGTGAAATATCTTCTGCGATTCATTAATTTGTCTGGAGAGAAAATCGTACGGAGGTTGAGGGTGCCACGTATTTTAATGCTTTTTACAATTACAAGCCCGATTTCTTGTTCTGCATTCGTTTTAAAAAGTTCTTCCGTCTTTATTTTCATT